TGTGCCCATATAGGTTTACTCTTACTGGCAAGTGTGTCATACTGTCATCCCATCTTATAAATCAAGTTTTAAATTTAAATTTTAAGTTTTAGGCTAATATAAATATGAGGTGCACTTTTTGGAATGTATATATTTGGATAGGGCGAGAACACCTTGACTATTCAAAAAAAAAAAAATCAAAATTTTCTATTCTTTGTTGATAAAAAAAATTAAAATTTACAAAGTCAAATCGGTTCTTCAACAAATGGCAAAAAATGATGATTAATTTCTTCATATATATACACACACTTGTAGCAAATCATCTAGATTTTGCTAACTTTGTCTGAATTAAGAAAAACATGGTCAATATATTCAACAGTACTGCCACAAAAAACATGAGAAACTAACATATCAAGATTATCCAAACTAACAATAGACTCAAGATTGTCAACCATAAAGATTCTATCCAAAAGAACTTTCTGTATTAAAAAGCTAACCTTAATAGAAATTAACCCTCCCCCACAAACTCTTACACATCTTCCTCTTCGGAATATTAGTTTAACTACTTAAAAAACTATAAGCTTTCTTAGAAGTATAACCTCTCCTCAAATCATTCAATCAACACCTAGTGTTCAATCTAAAACAATCCAAAGGACAACCATTTAAAAGATTCCTTAACCTCTAATTAGAATTAACTTCTCCCTCTCAAATGCCTTATGGCGTTTTATTTGTCAACTGAGGGATGATGCTTTTGTTTATTTGTTTTTTCTTTTAAAAATATTTTATGGTTCTTAAATTACAATACAAGAATTTTGAATGTGAGGAGAACCTCTAAATATTGGGGGTCCACCCCTTGTCCAAATCTCTACTGTACAATTCCACGAAATCTAAATTACACAACAATTTTTTGATATTTTATACTTAAATTTTTATCCTTTGTCTTTTTTTTAAAAAAAAAAATTAGTTTTTCAATTTTACATTGGTTAAAAACCCTATTTTGATCCCTCCACTTTAACAAAAAGCTTTTTTTAGTCCTTCTATTTTTAAAAGTCCATTTTTGGTCTCTAAAATTTAAAATCTAGTCCTTTTTTGTCACTAAAGTTTAAAATCTAACCCTTTTTAGTCCCTTTGTTACTTTTTGCATATGTAAAACTTTAGATGACAAAAATTCTAAAGTACAGGGACAAAAAAGGAACTAAAAGAAGCCCATTTTTGGTTCCTCTACTTTAAAAACCTCCCTTTTTGGTTCCCCTACTTTAAAAAAAACCTCTTTTTAGTCCCTTTGTTTTGGAATTTCCATTATCTAATATGATATTTATGCAAAAAGATAACAGAAAGATTAAAAAGGGGTTAGATTTAAACTTTAGGGACTAAGAAGGAGCTCTTTTAAGTAGAGGGAATAAAAAGGACTTTTTATTAAAGTAGAAGCACCAAAAAGGAATCTTAACCTTTTACCTTCTTTTTTTTTTTAATTTTCTTTCTTTTCAACTTCCATCTCCTTCACTCCTTTCTTTTGATTCCTTCCTCGGTTAGCCCTATGTCCCTTTATTTCAACTTAATTTTTTTTCTCTCAAATTTCCTCTCATGTACCTGTTTTCCTTCTTTATTCTTATTTCAAACTTCTTCTCTACCTTTCACCCTTTCTCTTTCTAAAATCTTTTCTTTCCTTCTCTTTACACTTTCTCTATTTTCTTTCTTTCTTCACTTAAATTTCTTTTCTATTATTATTCCTCATAAGCTTCACACTTTTCCCTTATCTAACCCACCATTTAAAGAGAGAGAGATAAAGAAAGGACATTCAACCAACAATTAGAAATACATACAAGATGCAACATTTGTATCACAAATTAACCCTAGGTCAAAAACTAACTCATAAGTGCATCAACCAAAGATATAACATAACCAAATTGGGACATAAAGAGATCAAGAACTACAAGCTTTAATAACTTGCATAGAGCTCTCAACTACTGACCAACTTCATGCTACTATACTAAACCAATGCAATGTTATTAAGAGAAAACATCAATCAACATGCATAGAGACCCAAGGCTTGAATAGCACTTTCCAAACAACTAACAAAAGATCATATTTTTAACCCAAAATGGTATTCAGACGCTTAAGTAAGCAAATAGACTCCAAGCAATTCAGTTTTGAAGCCAACAACCAAATCATTCTCATGTAAATAGGAACAATAAAAATTAAAAACGAAAAACTAACACTGCTAAAATAAACCATACACTCCATGAAAAGTCGACTTCAGATAGTATGAATAGGTAATTGAAGAAACAACAGAATGTATTTTATGAAATTATGAAATTTTAAGTCACAACAGTTCATGAAACAAGGTTCATAACAATGAAATAACCCAATTAATGCAATCCACCAATTTGAACCACATAACTATAGCTATTGAAACAACAATGACAAAATCTAAACTACTCTTTAAAAGAAAAAACAGTACAAAATAGGTTTGAATACAAACAAAAGAACATTGATATTCATCATTTATCGTTTATCATGGTTAGGCAACACTTTATAAAATTTGACAAAAATTCATTCAAAAGACATACTCAAAAGCAAAAAAGGGCATAAAAATTAGGGTTAAAGACAAAATCCATCTTCAATTTCATGCATGGAGTCACTAATCCATATCTCAGCAGAAAAAACAATAAAAAAGATTCAAAATGTAAAAATACAGATACCAAATACATTATATTGAAACTACAATTCTTTGAATTGAAACTTGAATGTAAATTTGCAATTAATTGAAATTACATTGCTAATTGCCAAAAATTCTAGATAAAGAAGTATGAAGCTTCGTAATTTGACAACTAAGAAGATTAGAGATTAATTCTAGTCTTCACTCAAATGGTACTATTTGTTGTTGTTTCATCAAAAAACTTTCTAGCCTCTTAGCACTTTTATTTTATCCTTTGGCTTTTGTCCATGATGAAGCCCTACACATTGGCAATTACATGTGGTTAGCAAGACCTAAAAACAAATTTTTTTTAATAAATTTAAAATTTTGCTTAAAAAATTTAAAAAATAATTTTTAGAGTAGTTTTTGAGCCAATTTTAAGAAAACTATGCATTTAAATTTTTTTAAAACTTACTTAAATGCACATTTAAAAGTTAATTTTTGAATATTTTTTCAATAAAATTTTAAATTTATAAAAGGAGAATTTGATTTTAAAATAAGTACTTTCACTACTAAAATGTTGGTTTTAGCAAGCACTAGTTAGTAAAATAATATGGTTTGTGCATGATTGTAAGATTTATCGATGTGGAATATGTTAATAATTGATACAATAGTACCACATTGCATCTATAAGTGAGCTGTAGAATCATCAATAAAAAATATGTTGTTAAAACAAAAATTAGTAACACTTTATACCTTGTTAAAATTTTTGGGCTAGTAGATAATTTGGCAACGTGAAACATGTTGCTAATTTCATAAATTACTAACATGGTTCACATTGCTGTTTTACACTTATCAGCAACTCCACCTAACTTTCAATTGCAGGAGCATCATTATGATATGCATCTATTTATATATACTCCTTTCTTGCTTTCTAATCTTTGCTATTTGTCCTTCACTCTCTCGATTTAATTTGTATCTTCCACCCCTTCACATAATTATTTTCTTTGTGTTTATTTATAAGCAATTACTTTTATAAATTATTAAACTTTCTTTTTCTATTACTTTATTAACAAATATTGTTCTAATCTATCGACAACAACCTTCTATTCCTACATATGATATTTGCTAAATGGATAGTTAAGAATATTTTGATAGCCAATATGATAGTATAAATGATTTATTGTTTCTCCTTCCTTATTTCTCATTTTATGTCCATGCATTCCATTCACTAATGTATTACTTATTTGTATATGATTTTATATAAAGATTTCAGTAATGTAATGTATGTTGCTAAAGTATCAATCAACAATACTTCCAACATCAATGAATGCCAAAACTTTTCAGAAATGAACCGAAAATCTACTCTTTAGTTTTAGCAATATAATCCATGTTGATGAGTTCTAACTTTTTGAAATTTAAATATTTATTAGCATCATGGAATATGTTGGTGATTGGAGGGCTTTAGGTAGATTACCCCACTAGATAGCATGACAACGTATGTTGCTGAATAAAAAATGACACCCAAAGTGTAGTTTAAATAACATTCAGCAATGAAATATATGATGTTGAATGCTCTATATACACCAAAAAATTGTAGAGCACTCTTCATTTCTTTCCTTTCTCCTCTCTTCTCATACAATTCTCTCCATTTCTCATCCCTTCTTTGCATAGTTATCTTGTCTTCTCCATTTCTCATGTATTTTCCTCAATGGTCCTTCCTTGTCCTCTATTTCTCATCCACCAAGTATCCTTCATTTCTCCTCCCTTCTCACCAAATTCTCATCAATCTGTCATTAATTCAATTTGCATCAATTAATCAACTTCTTGATTCTCTTCAATTATATGTTGTAATTTTATTTTATTTAATTTTTTTGAATATTAAGTGTTTAAGTATGTTTCAATTTATTTTTAAGTTTATGAAATTATAAGTAACTATATATAGCAATTAACAATGTCGTTATTTTGTTTGTTTTGTAAGTAATTCTCATTAAAGTTGAAAATTAAAGTATGGTAAGATCCCTAAACCCACATTAATTGGCTTGAATTGTTCAGTTTAAGTGTATTTAATTAAAAATGTATAGATGATTAATATAGATTGTAATACCCCAAAATTTCTAGAGCATTAAGTGACAGTTAGGGACCTAATTGTGAAGAAATACTATTAAGGAACTTAATGGCAAAAAATTTCAAAGTTCAGGGACTAAAAAGAAAACAAATTAGGATAAGGATTAAGCTTAGATATTTTTCTTTTCTTCCTCATTTTCACGCGGGTCTGCTCTGTCTTCTTCCCGATCCTTCCTCCCGAAAAGTCCCCAAGCCACCGACTTTCTCCCCTGGAAAAACCCGGCGAAGGCTTCTTGAAATTTCCCTCCTTTCTTGCTCAAAAACCAAGTTGCAGGCCTAGAACACTCTCCTAAACCCAGAAATTTTCCAGATCTGCGCTGTCCTCTTCCCCTCTGTCCGCCGGCCTCTGCTGGGTGGGGTTGGGTTCGGTTTTCTGGTAAGATTCAGCCATGAATTCCTCTCTTTAACTTTGATTTAGCTTGGGTTAACCTTGGTTCTCCAATTTTTGGCTAGTCCGTAAGTTCCCCTGCAGCTTGCCACCGGCTTCTTCTTCTCCCTGCAGCTCCGGTTTTAGCTGGAAAATTCTGGTATGGACAGCCCTTTTAAGTTCGAATTTATCAATTAATTGTTGTCCAATTAGTTGCTATGTGTTGTCCGAGATCCCGCCGGAATTATGGGATAATTGTGGGTAGCATAAAAATGTGTTTTTAAGCTTGGGTTAAGTATAAATTGCTTGATTTGGCTGCTGTGAATTTTCTGGAGGAAATCCTGTGTCTTAGGTATTGTTTTGCAAAAGACAATTGGTTGAATACAAGTCCTGTTCTTCCATTTTTTCTGTCTATGGAAGTAGAAATCCAAATTGGGTTTTCTCGGTTGATGGATAAATGTAATTTAGGAGCTTTTGAGTGAAATTAGGGATTGATCTATTGATTAGACTCGGGTTTAAGAGGGTTTGTGACCATTTTGCTCATAAGTTACATTTACTGTTCATGTGCACTGTTCACGGATACTGTTCATAGGCACTGTTCACACACCGAGGGTTAACAATTAACGGGGATTTAAATGATTAGTTTGTGATATAAGAATAAATTTGGAGAGCTCCGGTTATGTGGAGATTGATAGGAATAATATCGTGATTAGGGATTTGTCATGATGATTTCAACTTGAAATTGTGATAGTCCGGTATTAATTCTGAGGTGTTTTGATTAGGTTCCCGATCGTTCTGTCAGTTAGCACCATGAATTGAGCCTTTGGTTTTATGCGAGTGAGGTAAGTAAATTTATGGTAATGCCCTCACTGTTTTTCAAAAGATGTTTTGACTTGTTTTTGAAGTGGTGGTGGGACTAAACCTGTTTTATGCAAAAGTAAGTATGACTGATGTGAAGTGAAGTTTTATGCTTTTCATTAAATTGAGCATGCCTACTTAAAATTTAATTGATTGCCCTGATGATCTGAAAGTGATTAGTAAATTATGAATTTTCTGTTAACTTCTGCCTGTTTTGTCTCCGATACGGTCATGTTATCCTGTTTTCCGCTAGTGGGAGGTTTAAACGCTAGCACATGTCGACATGTTCCTGATAGAACCGGTTCATTTCTATAATCCTGCTAGTGGGAGTTAAACACTAGTAATTCTTGTTGCCTGCTAGTGGGAGGTTTAAACACTGGCCATGACCTATAGAGGAGACGGCTATTTCGCTCTCGTACTTGTATTCGTTTTCTGATTACACTTGTTGGCATGCTATAAGTTTAATTGACTACTACTGAACTTTATTATGCATAATGGTTATCATTGAGCATTCCGTTTATGTTTAAACTGTTTATCTGAAATGCTCAAATTTTACCCACGGGCTATCCATACATTTGCTTATTGAGATATTTTATCTCATGAGTTTTCCCTTGTCCACCATTTCAGGTAGTATGACCCGAGACACGGAAACCACGGGAAGTGACGAGTTAGAAGGCTAGCCATTTCGAGATTGATATAATTTTAGAAATAAATCATGTTTTTTGTAAGATAGGTTTTACCTTGTGATTTTAAGTTTAAGTCATGTTGGACATAGAATTATTGAAATATCTTATTTAAGTTATTG